CCATGAATATATGTGAGTTCTTGATCCTATCTTGCAAGTCTATAGTCACCTATTATGTGTTATGATCCGTTAACCCCGAAGTGACAATAATCGGGATACTTACCGGTGATGATCGTAGTTTGAGGAGTTCATGTATTCACTAAGTGTTAATGCTTGGGTCCGGTACTCTATTAAAAGGAGGCCTTAATATCCCTTAGTTTCCAATAGGACCCTGCTACCACGGGAGGGTAGGACAAAAGATGTCATGCAAGTTCTTTTCCATAAGCACGTATGACTATATTCGGAATACATGCCTACATTACATTGATGAACTGGAGCTAGTTCTGTGTCACCCTATGTTATAACTATTGCATGAGGAATCGCATCCGACATAATTGTCCATCACTGATTCATTGCCTACGAGCTTTTCATATATTGATCTTCGCTTAGTTACTGTTCCGTTGCCACTGTTACAATCACTACAAAACCAATACTATTACTTTTTCCACCGTTACCGTTACTTCCATATTACTTTGCTACTAAATACTTTGTTGCAGATATTAAGTCTTTCATGTGCAGTTGAATTGACAACTCAATTGTTAATACTTGAGAATATTCTTTGGCTCCCCTTGAGTCGAATCAATAAATTTGGGTTGACTACTCTACCCTCGAAAACTATTGTGATCCCCTATACTTGTGCGTTATCAGGGACGTATTGTATCTTGGATGATGAAGAGAGCATTCTCGTTGAATTGATGATCCGCGACTTCTCTTGGGGTGAAGTTGCTTGGGTCATGCGGATAGAAACATTGCTCAATGATTCTCCAAAGGTTAGTACTAACATGATTTAAGTGGCGTTTAAAGCGATAGACCCAAGCGTCAAAATCCTCATTTTTCACAATCTTAGGAGGAGAACCGGCATGATTTAAATGAGTGGAGGGAATCGGTCCTCCATAGGTAAGTGGAGATTCCACATGGGCAAAGATGCCATTACCACTTTTACCACTAGGCAAAGGAACTTTATCACTAGAAGCTTCCGCTTGTCGGAATTAGCATCCGTCACCTTGTTAGTGGGATCGACCACTTCCAACGGTGCGGTGGAGAATTTAAGACCATCAAGAAAGTTTTTAAGCACGCCTTTGACCTCGGCCTTCATGCAGGTTTTAAATGTGTCCAAGGCCACATTGAGCTCCTCACGTGAGATCGAGGTTCCACCATCGGCCGTAGATGAGGACAAAATCACACCAGGGTGCTCCTCCTCACCGTCTACGGTGTCAACCATACTCTTTGGACGGTAAAGTCATTAATAAAGAGACGAGGCTCTGATACTAATTGAAAGGATCGATATAGTTGACTATAGGGGGGGTGAATAGGCAACTAACAATTTTTAGCTTTTCTTTACCAATTTAAACTTTGCATCAAAGTAGGCTGTCTAGATATGCAACTAGGTGAGAAACCTATATGATGCCACAACAATAAGTACACAAGCAAGCAAGGGATGTAACACAAGATGAGCTTGCACGAGTAAAGGGATGAGATAACCAATAGTGGAGCTAGTGAAGACGAGGATGTGTTATCGAAGTTCCTTCCCTTTAAGAGGAAGTACGTCTCCGTTGGAGCGGTGTGGAGCAAGGTAGTCAGAATCCTGATTCGACTGCTAGAATCCTACGACTTCACGACCCTATGGAAGCATGTCGATCCAAATCCCACTATGAATCCGGATCAGGTAGAATCCATGTTGAGTCGCGATCCAAATCATAGAATCCTATACAAAACTGTACAATCCCGACTATGCTATGGACTACATCCGATTCTACTAACTTATCTAAGCCGTTTGTTTAGTTGTAGCAAAATAGTATGCCATCATCCAAAACCCTTTTCATATACCTCATGGACCTTTATTCCCCTCCCAAGTCCAACCGCTCAGCCATGGACACCTTTGATCAAGCTCTTAGAAACCCTAGATCGAAATTGAGGGTCGGGCTTGTCGACATATGGAATTAGCGTGAAAAGGAGGATGCTTCAAGATTGATCAGAAAAGGAGAGCAAGACCCTTCAAGGTTTAGCATTGTAGGTCAGATAAACAAGTGACCGACTATTCACGCACTCTAAAAAGAACATTAGTAAATTTCGTGCATTGAAGGTTTAAATGTTATATATATTTCCCTCTCATATATGTTCCATACATGCGAGCTACATGGTAGGTTAGCCATAAAAAGAAGTGGAATACAACTAGCATTGATGTGTGTGTTCTTTGCTCCATATTTAGTGTCAAAACTCTATAGAACCCATATAAATTTCTTGTGTGCATACAAAATATCTTATTTGAGTAAATCTAGTAGAGTCCTCGATTCCATGACTCGATCTTACGACTCGATTCTGTCTGAGGAAAACTGATCCGACTCCGAATCCCGACTCTGACTACCTTGGTGTGGAGGCACAATGCTCCCCAAGAAGTCACTAGGGCCACCGTATTCTCCTCACGCCCTCTAACAATGCGAGATGTCATGATTCCACTATTGGTGGCCTGGAAGGCGACGACCGAACCTTTACAAACAAGTTTGGGGCAATCTCCACAACTTAATTGGAGGCTCCTAACAACACCACGAAGCTTCACCACAATGAAGTATGGCTCCGCGATGACCTCAACCGTCTAGGGTGTTCAAACACCCAAGAGTAACAAGATCTGTGCGGGATTACTGGGGGCGATCAAATTTCTCTTGGTGGATGTGTAGATCGAGGCCTTCTCAACCAATCCCTAGGAGATCAACAAGTTTGATTGGCTAGGGAGAGAGATCGTGCGAAAATGGAGCTTAGAGCAACAATGGAGCTTGGGGTTGAAGAGGTAAGTCAACTCGGAGAAGAAGACTCCCCTTTTATAGTGGAAGAACAAATCCAACCGTTATCCACTAACTTAGCCTGCGACGCACGGTACTACCGCACCGGAGACGCGGTACCGCCAGAGCCCACGGTACTACCGCAAGGCACTGCAGTACTACCACCCACGCAGCAGTATCCAAAACAGCCCTGATGCGATGAAGCAGAGGGTGGTAGAACCGCTGGCGCGGTACTACCGCTCCCCCTTGCGGTACTACCGCAAGGCAGGGATAGTCCAGATTTGGGAAGGCACGGACATATAAAAATACATCCGTGGCAATTTCCGCTGAGTTTAGATCTATGCAAAAATCCGACACGGTAGTACCGCAAGCCAGGAGCGGTACTACCGCGTAGGGCGCGGATGTAAAAAAATTACATCCGCCCCTACTTCCGCTCGTGCTGCTGAGCCAGACCTGAGGCCACGGTACTACCACGTCAGAGAAGTGGTACTACCGTGAGCACCTACGGTACTACCGCGCCCATGGCCGGTACTACCGCAGGGGCCTGTGGTACTACCGCTCTGAGGAGCAGTACTACCGCATGCCCCAGTTCAACATCACTAGAAGTCTTTCCTTTTGTAGAGATTCGGAGAAACGAAGGATGCTCCAAAGAGCCAAAGAAAAGGTGGTGCAAAAGGAACAGACGTGTATATGTTGATTCCACCCAAACCTTTCCAACACGGACCCACTCTTAATAGTACGGCTTTTCTACAACTCAAACCACCGAAAAGAAACGTAGAGAAACGCCGTCTTCAATAGTCTTCGAGGGGCATCAAATCGTCTTGTGCCTAGACATGATATATCTGAAATGCTCAATGCACACGATTAGTCTGCAAAAGCATTGTCATCAATCACCAAAACTACTAAGGGATAAATATGCCCTTACACCGAGATTTTGCCACGCCCCTCAAATTCTTTTGCGGGCCGGCCATGTTTGTGGGGTCTGTTCGAGCGGGATTTTCCGCACCAACCCGTATTTTGGTGGTTATTTTGCGGGGTGTGCTAGAGTTGCTCTAAACATTCTTATATACTACATACTACACGTACATACTCTTCGATTGAATAAATACTACAAACAACATACCATACTCAAGTGAACCAACCTGTGGTTGGATGGTTAGAGGGATAGTGGTATCCCAACCCACTAGGGTTCAAGTCCTGAGATCAAACGTCAGATTTTTAACACTTCCCTTTCTTTTGGAAAACATTCGATTGTGCTCTCATCCTTGCTAAGAAAATTTGCCATCCTCAAACAATATGCATTGCCATGGAAAATGCTCAATTTACAATGCTCTCCCAGCGAGCATTTTGGTTATCAAAATCCTGTTATTGTCCCCCTTTTCACCGGACGTGCTAACTCACAAATTCCACCTCAAAAGACACAAATGTATGAGTTACAAACCAATTTAAAATATGAATTTTACGGTGTACTTTATATGACATACATCTTGTATATTGTTGAGCGTATCAATGCTCAAAGTATGGGAACACACTATTTCACGGTGACAACAGATGGGAGCACAACATCGTCGCCAAAGATGGGAAGAAAAGCAGGGCAAGCAGGCTCTCTCACGACTAGTATGAAGGAGAGGCATGGGGGCGAGCAAATTGTTTTGGGTCATTAGCGCGGCGACGGTGGGAGAGGCGGTTTAGGGATCCTTGCCATTGGATCAAAGATCGTGTGGTTAAAACTCTGTCCCAGCAACAAAAAAAACTTTATTTTTTTATAGAAAAGTTAAAGGAAGCATTACTATATATATATATCATGTAAACGTAAGGAAGGCCCAAACAAATTGCATATCATCATCACAATCATCTGCATTACCCAAGCACATCTCAACAGAAAATCCACCAAATTTCAATCCATTACCATCCACTGTCCTCTCACAAACCGGATGATGCAGTGAGAGTAGAAATGTTGTTGCATGGGCACAGCACAACTTGCCAAAAGCTGCCAGTGATAGATAACCTACTTAACTACAGCTCTGAGTTCTAGAGTCTTAAGATCGTCACCAAGATGGCACATTGAGTCATTGTTTCAAGCTAGCAAAATGCAGGCACTACTGACTAAGAGGGTCTCTAACCATCCATCTACGAAAACGCAAAAAGAAGAAGGGCTTCGGTTTCGCGACGCGCGGGCGGGCATCACTTCTTCTTCAGTTCCATCGCCTCCCTGAAAAGAACAAGTCCATCAGATCATCAAACATAACCAACCACTCAGCTAGCACAACCAGTCAGTCAATTTGACAAGGCAACCATGCTTCTGATCTAGTACATGTATGTTGCACAAACCACATATATATGGAGTGCATTTCTGTCACCTCGACGACAGGAGTGGGTAAATGGTGGGGGTCTCTTCCTTACATACCAGAACAATTTGTCCATCTCATCGTTCTCGGGGTCCAGCTCCACGCCACCCGACAGCTCCTCGCAAGCTTTCTCATAGTCCTGGAAGAAATGGACACGGAGTTCAGATCGACGGCAGACCAGATGAAAGCAGTAGTACTTATCAGAATGCAAAAATTCTACTCTCAAACAAACAAACAAACAAAAAATGTATAAATGCTTTGGTCTCCAAAAAGAAGAAGAAAGTGCACCTTTAGCAGCATCAGAGCCTGTCCTCGGCGAAGGCGGGCCTCCGCCCACTCCGGGCACCTCCTCTTGCATCTGGTTGCATCCTCCAAAGCCTTCTGTCCGTCGCCAAGCTGAAGCCAGCAGCGGCTCCTGCTCGCGAGCATCTTGCCATCAGAAGGATCAACTTTCAGTGCCTGCGCCCAACCAAGCAGCATGCATGTGTCAACATATATACCGACTGAAGTTATAATAGCAAATTCTTCCAAGAGATAAAATAAATTTGCAAATGGATAGCAAATAAAGGGCAGACACATCATCGCAGATTAATACGGACCCGGCCACAACATCGTACTGAATCATCAAAATAACTCAGGAAGATAATATCTACTCAAAAGAGGCATGTGTTGTATGCCTGCACTTATCCAAGGCCTATGCAAGAATTAATACTTCATGTCATTTGTTTGTCATTGCAACTTCTGCAGTAATTCTCCTGTAAAATAGGTTACTCGCTGGTTTTGTGGTTTACACTTCAGACAGTAAGCTACATCCAAGGAGATGATGATGCTGATACTAGCCATTTAACAGGTTAACTTTATTAAATGTATCTGCATGTAGAACATTTCACACTTCAAACTTTTACAGATTAACTTTAAAAAATGTAGACCAGCAGAAAACTGTACCTGTGTGTAGAACTCTGATGCACTTGTGTAATCCTGCTTTTCAAATGCTTCATCCCCTTTTCGTTTCAGGTCAGACTTCCTTGTGTTAAGAACATCCTCATCCTGAGCAAATTCAGATAACTTTAGTCATACATTTGAAATTCCGATGTGTGCGACATTATATAGCAACTGACTGAGGATTTAATGCATTCAAAGGACAATAATATACATCTAAATGTTTTTCTCATTGAGGAATGGCACTTATTTTCGCCACAGTGGCATACCTGCAGCTGCATCCTCTCCAGTTTGGCATGATTAATTATCCCATCAATGCTCCAGTCTGCCACAGTTGGAATTGGGGAGGTGACAGGATATAGAAGCTCAACGTCTTCCCTTGTACCATACACAGCAGCTAACTCTATCGGGAATCTACCACACTGTCAGAGCAACAGAAGAAAGTTTATTAAGCAATACTGAAGATTCAAAAAAGAAAGACAAGGGAATGGTTCCTTGGTAATCTAAGAATCACTATGCTCGCCAATTCAACGACACGAAAAAGATGTTATAATACAAGCGTTAAAAATGCCTAACAAAGTTAGTAGTCTAGAATGCAGCTTGTACTTCTTGTTTCTATCCCAGCTATTAGTTTGGTACCGTTAAGACAGGCCAAGGAAGTATCCTATAATTTTCTGTGTGTATCTGACCACACAAAGAAAATATATGACAAATGGAAAAGGAAACATCAACAGGCATTTTTTAGGTAAAACATTAACAGGCTTGTGTTAAAAGGCAACTGATAGTAGTCAAACTAATCATATACTCCTACCACAGAGACTGAGAAACAAGTGTATCTTAATTCAAAACCAGCCCATTCAATTGATTCCCAAATGCTTTAAAACTCAAGCATATTTTTTTGTACGAAACTATACTTCACTTTCACCTTCGTTCCCATTACATACATACTTGTACTACCATATTTTGCAGAAACTATAAGTACTAGAACTACCAAGTCAATCAGCTCAAAACGTTGTTGTGTGGAAAACAAGAGACAAGGTCACCTCATCAGGACGATTTGGGTCTGCACCAGCCTCCAGCAAGCACTTAACACATTCAGTCAAGCCTTCGCTTGCAGCTCTTGCCAAGGAATTGCTGACATCATTCACATCAGCTCCAGCCTACCAAAATGTACATGCGGAAGATCAGTAGATAACCATATAGTCTCTCCATATAAATTGAAGATCAGAACAGATATGAGCAACCGTAACATCAGTAGTTACTCATAGATAAGCACATCTTGAAAGGAAAAGCAGATTAGTAGACAATTCCATACCTGAACCAATAACTTCACACAAGGCGTGGAAGCACTAAGCAATGCGGCCTTTAGAGGTGTTACTAGATTAGAAGTCACAACCTTGTTGACCTGTAAAAAACAAGACTGTCATAAACATTTGCATGCCATAGTAATGGGCTAATGGCAGGTCCTTGAGACAACTACTTTCAAGTAAAGCAAATGCAACATAAGTTGGGTCAGCAGATAGAGAAAAAAAAAGGGTACAAGCACATTACATCTGCATGGTGTTCCAACAGAACCTCCACAGTGCTCTCATGCCCTTTAACAGCAGCAAGATGGAGTGGTGTCCCGTGCTCTGAGCTGCCGTTAACGTCGGCTCCTCTAGCAAGCAGCAACTTTACTATTTCACACCTCCCTGAAGACAACAATCAGTATATGGAAAACTGGTGATCACAGTCATAATTGGCAAACAAGCCATCTTTGGCAACCAAGTTTTGAGCAGATACATCACACTAACATACAAACAAGCCATATTTCGCCAAACATGTTTTGAGCAGATAGAGCAAACCAACAAATTTACACTTAATAAGAAATCATAGCTAGGAAGAACAATAAAAGGTCTTCGCGAGCAAGTTTGAATGGCCATAATGGCACAATGCAATGCAAGATTTTTGGATAACAAGTTTCATTGGCAGCAATATTTCTGGATGAATAAGTTTCAGTGGCTAGAATAAAAATACAACAAGGTAACAGTTCATGTCATGACAGTGATGACTAAAGACCCACAAGATATATAGAAGCAAGTAATACAAACAGGCTGATGGCCACGTGTGAAGTCTTTAAAACCAGGCTATGGTTTGATAACTTGACCTATACCAAATGAAAACTGAAGATCACTCCTCCCTGAAGATCACAGTATATGGGAAACTGAAGATCACAGTTATAACGTACAAACAAAGGACTTTTGGCCAATTAAGTTTTGAGCAGACAGAGCAGACCAACAATGCTACAATTCAGAAATTGTAGGAACAACAACAGAAGGTTGTTGAACAAGTTTGAATGGCCATAATAGCACAATGTAATCTAAAATTTCCGGATGAACAAGTTTGGCTAGGATAAAAATAGCACAGTGTAACAAGTTTGTTCTGAGTTGGCTACTTGGCTTCTCTAGAAAGCAGCAACTTTACAATTTCACACCTCACTGAAGATAAAAAAAACAGTATATGGAAAACTGATGGCCACGATCATAATAGACGAACAAGGCGTCCCTGGCAACCAAGTTCTGAGCAGATAGATCACAGTAATATACTTTGATGCAGCCTGAAGATCACAGTGTATGAAAAAACTGAAGATCATAGTGATGATAACATACAGACAAAGGATCTTTGGCCCATTAAGTTTTAAGACAAAAAGAGCAAAACCAACAATGCTACACTTGAGAAATCATAGCTAGGAACAACAACAATAGCACAATTAATGTAATGCAACATTTTTGCATGAACAAGTTTCAACTACAACGTTTCTTGATGAATAAGTTTCAGCGGCTACAATAGAAACACGACGAGGTAACAATTGATGTCATGACAGTGACAAAGACCCACAAAATGTGTAGAAGCAAGCAACTAATATGAACAAGCTGATGGACACGTGCGAAGCGTGCATGACCAGGCTATGGTTTGATCTGTACGAAATGGAAAACCGAAGATCACACCTCCCTGAAGATCACAGTGTATGAAAAACTGAAGATCATAGTGATGATAACATGCAAACAAAGGATATGTTTGACCCATCAAGTTTGAAGACAGAAAGAGCAAAACCAACAATGCGGCAAATCAGAAAATTACAGGAACAACAACAGAAGGTTGTTTAACAAGTTTGAACGGCCACTGTAGCACAATGCATGTAATGTAAAATTTCTGGATGAACAAGCTTCAATGGCTACAGTGTTTCTTTGATTGCAATTTTTGTTGTTGTTGATGGCTTAATTACCAAGCTGACCACTTGGTCATGGCTACAGTATTTCTGGATGAACACAGTTGCTAGGATAAAAATAGCAGAGTGTAACAAAACACACATGCTCACTTGTAGAGCTCAGAATCCAGGTAATTATGGGGGAAACCCTGAACAGAAATGTGTATGACTAGAAATAAAGCAGCAAGTGTTGAAGGTAGCAAGGAAGCGTTTGTGGCAGAGTTAGTGGTGGTATGGTACCTTTCCTTGCAGCGTGATGAAGGACAGTGTCGCCGTCGTCCTCTTCCTGGTTGAGATCGGCGCCATGGTCGAGGAGGTACCTGAGGGCGGGCAGGTTGTTGCCGTCCACGGCGTGCTCCAGCGGCGTCTTCTTGCCTGTCCCACCAGGTAGCGCAAGATTGGGCACATACAGTTGATTGAGCAATGCTGCTGTGTTGGATGCGAAGAAGGGAGGAGAGTGCTTACTTGGGGAGGAGTCCCACATGTTGACGTCCATCCTGACGGTCTCGACGAGGTAGCGGCAGGCGGCGAGCTTGCCCTGGCCCCCGACGGCGGCGTGGAGCGCGTTCATGCCGCGGTAGGTGGTGGCGGCCACCGTGGCCTCCTCCCCCGCCTTCCCCTTGCGGTCCAGCTTCCCGGCGATCTCTGCAACGCGGCCAAAAATCGGACGCGGAACAGATCAGTACTTGGCCGGCGGCGCGGGAGGAAGAAATAGAAACCCCCAAAAGAAAAAAGGCGCCTTTTTTTCCACCGGACGGTGCAAATCGAGGAGATGGAAGAGTCGCGGGGGGGAGGCAAGGACGGACGGACGTACCCTTGAGGCGGCGGACGTTGCCGTAGTGCGCGGCGACGAGGAAGCGCGCCTCCGGGGGCCACGTGTCCTCATCTGCACAAACAGAGAAGGAAGGAAGGAAGGAAGGGGAAAAAAACCATGAGCGATGATGCGATGCGACGACGGACGGGGTCGGCGGGCGGCGGGAGATGGAGACGGGAGACAAGGGTTGGGGCGGCGGCGTACCTTTGCCGAGGAGCTTCTCGAACATGTTGGGCAGCGGGATCTCGAGGAGGTCCATGGCCGCTCTCCTTTTTCCTCCGGCGTCGGCGGCGGGCTAGGGTTTCTCTCCTCTGTCTCTCCCTCTCGCGCGGTGCGCTCTGCTCTGCTCTGGTGGGAGGGAGGGGGAGCTCGAAATGGAACGGTGAGAGGGAGAGAAATAGGGGCGGGAAGGGGGAGGGGGAGTGGGTAGTGCGCCACTGCGCCTGCAGGTGGGAGGCGCCCCCCCTCACCCCCGGTCTCGGTCTGACACGGCAGCGCTGCTCTGCTTTCTTTCCCTTCTCGGCGGCTGGGCTCCTGCTCTTGACCGAAAGGCCACACCTCTCGTCGCCGTGCTGCGCTCCGTTTGAATTTTTTTGAATCCGTCCAATCGTTGGCGTTGGCATGTAGCGCCACCACACAGCTGCTGTTTGAGATTAAGGGAGCGCTTGATGGTCATTTAGGTTCACCAGCTGTTTATGTCAGCAATGGGGATGTAGCTCAAATGGTAGAGCGCCCGCTTTGCATGCGGGAGGCACGGGGTTCGATCCCCCGCATCTCCATTTTAATTTTTTTTACTTTTCTTGAGACCTGTCAGCCTATTAATTTCTCACTGAATCCGTGCTAGTGTCGCGTTTGGTGGATGACTTTTTTATTGAGGGAACGCTTTATTTTTCATGATAATATGTGTCTCATTAATAAAATAAACATCGACGTTACAGGCCTAAAAAGATAGGATAATCCTATGCAAAAAAATCAGCGCCTGTCCCTCTCCACTTGGTGCAAGTACAATATGGGGTGCACTGTCCCCAAATATAAGTATTCAACTATAAATAAAAATTAAATAAACATAACATGGTGAAGTAGGGGGGGGGGGGGCAGTGGCCCCCCTATTCAGCCCCATAACATAGTTGACATTTCGTTCCACAAATTACATTATTTTCTATTTTTATTTAGGCTTGGAAGATGTTCGGGTATGTTTATTCTTGTGCTGACCTATTCTGCCACAAATTATATAACATGGATGGATGGGCAACATTTTTGACCTGGCCCACATCGCACACCGGCATACCGGTAAACAAAGTTCGACCGGCCACCACCGCCGGAATAGAATGCCGCCTATCAGCTCGCGCAAAAGGTGTCTGTCTTTTTTTTTCTAACCTAATCGCACGAAGAATTCACGCCATACCTGGCTCGATCAATCCATGTTTTGAAGAGAGCGGCAAATAGGGTTTTCCTTGCTGTTCGTCGCCTTTTAAGCGCTCGGACAGGTAGCTGGCGCCCACGCGCCGCACCTCGTTGGCCGGCCTACCATGCGCAGTAAAAGGAAAAAAGGTCTTGTGAAAAAGTGTGGTGACTTGAACTCAGGCCTTGCCGATACAAGAAAAGAACTGTTTTGCTAACCACTACAGCCGGTAAGTGCCAGTGACTACAATGAACGTGAAATCTTTACGAACCAATGTATCTGCGCTATTTTTTGGATTTGTGAATTATTCAAAAACAATTTAGAAAAGTTGATTTTTTTTATGAAAAAAAGTTTATCAAATTTTGAAGCATGTTGATGAATTTTAAAAAACAGTTCGTTGATGTTTAAAAAATTTCAGCAAATTAAAAAAGGTTCATCGAATTTGAAAGAAAAATTCATCAATTTCAAAATAGTTCATCAAATCTGGAAAAAGTTCATCCATCATTTTTAAGTTCATCGGATTTGAAAAAAGTTCATCGATTCTCAAAAAGTTCATTGAATCTAGAAAAATTTAATCACATTTACAATAACATCGACTTTGAAACAAAGTTCATCGACTCTAAAAAAAGTTCATCAAATCTGAAAAAAGTTCATTGGATTTGAAAAAAAAATTCATCAAATTTGATAAAAAGTTTGCCGGTTCTAAAAAAGGTTCATCAAATCTGGAAAAAGTTTATCGAAATTGAAAATGCGTTCATCAAATTTGAAAAAAGTTCATTGATTTGAAAGAAGTTCATCGAAATTGTAAAAAAGTTCACCAAATTTGAAAAAGTTCATAGAATTTCAAAATAGTCCATAGAATATGATAACAGTTCATTAAATTTGAAAAAATCATCAAATTCTAAAAAATTCTTCATCGGTTTGAAGAAAAAGTTCATTGAAAAACTTTGTGCATTTTCGAAAAAGATAAAGAAAACGAAAAGAAACCAAGAAATAAGGGAAAATTGAAATACAAATAAGAAGAGATATACAGGAAAAAGAAAAGAAAAATGAAATCTCGATTTACAGCGAACTCGAGCAAGAATAGAAAGCAGAAAAGAGGATGTTAGCCACGAGTCTGAAGGTGGCTCAGTGGTTGGTGTCTAGAGGTCGGGAGTTCGAACCGCCTATTGCTGCACCTTTTTTTTTCGAAGTTGGCAGGAAAAAAAGAACTATGGGCCGGCCCATCTAGACGCACGAGAAAGCTGCTGCGGGCGCCGATTTGCGAAAACAGAAGAATTGCCCGCCTGAATCATCCTCCATCGGCTCAGCGTAAGGGAGCGCGTCAAGTGATGCGTCTAGCCACCGTAACGTGTTGCAGGTTGGACGGATCGTTGGATATTTTTCCTGCATGCGTTTTCGGTGTTTATTTGCTTTTTTCCTAGTTTTTGCTAGGGTTTTTTTTTGTGGGGGGAGGGGGGAGCAGTGCTTTTTCATAAGAATCACAACTTGTAATTCATGAAAAGCAAAAAGGCACATATGTGCTTTTGTGAGACGGTTGCGCTTCAGCAAGATACTTTATGTTGACATCATGTCTTTTTTTAGATAATTATATTTCACTATTATGTTCTTTGCCCTTCAATACCTCTTACGACAAAGTTATTAAAAGTCTTATGCTTCATAAACAAAACATAATCTCTTTTGCTTTTTCTATTTGTATCTATATTTGTCCATCCATGATCCTTTTAATGTGTTACAGAAAACAATTTGGTTCCCATGGGCACGCATGGATACACACGAGATACTGAAAAATGAAAATAAATCCACCGGCAGCCATACTATCGAATAAATCATTGAAGCTGCTCTATTTGCATCACTAGGGACGTTTTCCTAGCAAACGTGTTGGTTGCCGTTAGATCTTCCTGTGCGAATCACGGTGCAAGGCTTGTACAACTTCAGCTTTTCTGACACGTTCGCTATAGACAACGTCCCGGAAGAAGTCGCATACTTTTTTCTCTTCAAAAAATATGTGTGTTGTGGGGGTCACGAACTCACGACGTCCTGCACGAGCAGCAGCTTGCTTGTTACTTGGACTGAAGAAGTTTTGGAACACATATGCTTAAATAGCTTTATGTATTTGAAGTTAAATTCATTTTTCATTAAAAAATCCAAAAATACTATTTTTTTCATTTTTAAAAGAGCATATATCCCTATTATTAAAGTATTTTTTAGAACTTGGTGTGCGCATTTTCATTACAGAAAGCATTGCAGTTTCTTTTTGTTTAAAACCATGACATTTTTTGTCTTCCAACACATGGTAATTCTTAGGTCTTTTGTAATGCCCCCATGACAACCTTTGGAAATTTTTATCACTCATTCATGGCAATTTTGGTTAATTTTACTTTCTCACATGGCATTTTTATTATTAAAATTATGTCTTTTTAATAATTGTAACATGATATTTTTATTATTAAGTGGATGGCTATTTTATTACTAATAGAATACCATTTTTATTATTAAGCAGATGTCAGTTTTATTATTAACAGAGTGACAATTTTTATTATTGGGAGCATGTCATTTTATTATTATTGCTGTCTGGCTTTTATTATTATTAAGAGGATTTAAATTAGAGAAATGGTTGTTTTATAAGTAGCATGACAATTTTCATATTTCAGATCATGGCAATTATAAATGTATGCTTACAAGAAAGTGTATATTTGTTTTGTTCATGGCATCTTAGAAAATAGTAAACTGAGCCCCTGGGCCAATCAAGGTTAATCTTTTTGCGTGTTGGCGATTTTCATGATTTATGCCATGATTAATTTCTGCAATCAGACTCTTCTCTTTACCGCTGCAGTCGGCCGGTTGGTTCATTATGGGCCTGTAATTAAAATCATTTTTATGGGGAGATCATGCAGAAATCCGGAGATATATATGAACTCCACAACATTTAGATACATTAAAAGCTTGTAGCCAGTCCTTCACAATTGGCAGGAAGACCATACGTTGCCGCTACTGGCCTTATGGTTGAAGCTCCTCGTACCTGCACAATTGGCAGGCAGGTGCCATCACGGGAAGCATCGGAATTGGTTTGGGCGCTCGGGTCATGGCCATTGGTGTTGTCCACTCATCCACTGCAAATCGATGTCAAATCCCATCCTCCACGCTAATCAGACAACCAGGTTTCACGTTCATAAAACTTTGTTTCTTCCCATCTGTAACTGTAAGACTGTAACTTACCTCTTATAATAGTTCATGGAATCCGTTACTTGGAGTGATCCAGATGCCAATTAAATTTTTGTATGATTAGGCAGAGGAGATATTCGTGGAGAAAACAGATGTGCAGGTTTGAAGGATCTTTCTAAGAATTCTGCAGTGGCGAAATAATTGGATGTTCAGTGAAGACAATGACTGTATGCTCTCTTCAGTTTTAATACCATCATGTCATCATCCTCAATTCCTCATATATACTGTAGTTGTGTTCTACGCTTCTGTTTGGTAGTGCTATTTTCATTTTTACTACTCCCTCCGTTCATTATTATAAGACGTTTTGGACAGCTAGCTTTGAACTGTTTTGGGCACTGTCTGAATTGTCTAAAACGTCTTATAAAAATGAACAGAGGAAGTATGTGAAAGGAACTTGCTAGCAAACGTCTAGAAGAATTATCTTAATGATCATGTGTCGGTGCTGCATACAAGAAGTTGACTCTATGAGTTTTGATTTATGCAGCTGACTTGCACTTGCTCCAAGCACTTGGAAACAGTACACTGTCAGGACTGGTTATTAGTGCAGGATTGTCGTCCTCACAAATGTGCCATTCGAAATCCCTCTGACCCATATCAAATTTCTATCCATGCTAATCACTATGGTTGTATTC